TTCACAGTATGGTATTTTTGAATGACAATCTTGTCTACAGAGTCATGGTCATCAAAGGTCACAAAAGCAAAGCCTCTCTTTTTGCCACTGCTTCGGTCAGTCATGATTTCAATCACTTCAGTTTTCCCATACTGTTCAAAATAATCTCTTAGATGATGTTCTTCAGTGTCTTCTTTAATGCCACCGACAAAAATCTTTTTCACAGTTAAGTGGGCACCAGGTCTTTGAGAATCTTCTCTCGAGACAGCCCTCTTTGGTTCCACAACTGTTCCATCCACCTTGTGTGGCCTTGCATTCATGGCTGCATCCACGTCTTCCACAGTGGCATAGGTGACAAACCCAAAGCCTCTGGAGCGCTTGGTGTTTGGATCTCTCATTACCACACAGTCCTGAAGTGTTCCCCATTGCTCAAAATGGCTCCTCAGACTCTCATCGGTTGTTTCAAAGCTCAAACCTCCAATGAAAAGCTTCCGCAGCTGTTCAGGCTCTTTGGGAGACTCTGACTTAGACATGACGGCGGTGGGAGGGGAGACTTTCACGATGCTTACTCGGCGGCGTCCATGGGCAGAAAGCGAAATTGATTTTTTTTAAACTTGTTTCCTGACACCACCAATGCTTTTATTTATTGTTAAAAATTCTTGATGACACTGGTGTTTGAGTTATTATGGTTTGAATATTACCTGGTCTTTGTCTACAGTTACCAAAGTAAAATAGTAACTATGCCCTAATAAAATCCTTAAAAGTACTAAATGATAAGTGTAATGCCCCCGATTTTGAATCTGAGAGACCACCAAGGAGCCGATACCGATGCAAACGCACGAAGGTTTATTTGCAGGCTGGAGCTTGGGCCCAAGTATACCCTACACGGCAGAGCAGGGACTTGGACCCCTAGGTTAAGAAGCGTAGCAGTTTTATAGGGGCCAGTGGCCAATGAGATTGTAACACACACAGAAAGTTGCATAGTCATGTCAGTCCACACGCAGGTGGCCAGTTGAATTACAATTTACCCTATAGTAACTGTTTCAACTAGCCTATCACTCTGGTCAGAATTGGCGTGCAAGTTTGGCGGGCAAAAGGCGGGGTTTACATTCTTTGGCGGTTAGGGGTTCCACATTCCTATTTGAGCTGGTTTCCAGTGAGGGTGTGCTCAGCAGCTTGACTAGGGTGGGAGAGTGTCTTAAGCAATAAGTAGGTCATGTGGGGGTTATACATGATATGGTGGGTGTAGTACAAAATGGAGTTAGTCTTGCTCTGCTTGTCCAGGGGTAGGGGATTTTTGTTAAATTCCTTGGGTCCCACATTAAGGGGTGCCTGAGCCGCTCAGTTGCTCGATTGTCCGATCCTTGATTTTGGCTCAGGTCATGATCCCAGGGTTGTGGGATCAAACCCCTTGTCGGCCTCTGTGCTGAGCATGGAGCTTGCTTAAGATTCTTTCTCTCTCTCCCTCTGCCCCTTTCACTGGCTTGCACACACACTCTCTCTTAAAAAAACAAAAAAAAGTACTAAATGATAATAGCTGAGATTAGAAGAGAAATTAAATATGAAATATGGCTAAGATACTGATAGGAAATAACTCCCAGAGACTATGCTGAAAGAACTGAAAAGACCATTTTCAAATCCTTTCTTTCTTTCTTTCTTTCTTTCTTTCTTTCTTTCTTTCTTTCTTTCTTTCTTTCTTTCTTTCTTTCTTTCTTTCTTTCTTTCTTCCTTCCTTCCTTCCTTCTTTCCTTTCCTTTCCTTTCCTTTCCTTTCCTTTCCTTTCCTTTCCTTTCCTTTCCTTTCCTTTCCTTTCCTTTCCTTTCCTTTCCTTTCCTTATGTTTATTTATTTTTGAGAGAGACAGAGACAGAATGCGAGTGGGTTAGTGGCAGAGATAGAGGGAGACAGAGAATTGGGAGCAGGCTCCAGGCTCTGAGCTGTCAGCACAGAGTCCGACATGGGGCTCTAACTCAGGGGCTGTGAGATCGTGACCTGAGCTGAAGTCAGAGGCTCAACCGACTGAACCACCCAGGTGCCCCATCTTTCTTTCTTTCTTTTTTCTTTTTTTTAATGTTTATTTATTTTGAGAGAGAGAAAGAGTGCGGGCATGAGTGGGGGAGGGGCAGAGAGAGAGGGAGAGAGAGAATCCTAAGCAGGCTCTGTACTGTCATCTGCAGAGCCAGATGTGGGGCTCCATCCCACAAACCATAAGATCATGACCCGAGCTGAAATCAAGAGTCAGATGCTTAACCGACTGAGCCACCCAGGTGCCCCAAGTTTCTTTTATTTCCGTGTGGTATTCAGTCCAGGTTTGGCTGTACAGACGTAGTCTTTGTTGTTCTCCTAGACTCTATTTCTTTGATCCCTATCACCACATCTCTGTTATCACCGTATCAGGGAGTCTCATTAACCCCACTACCTAAATGTCTTTTGGAAACAGCTAACCTCTCCCATTCCTTCTTGGGGTGACTTTCCGGAGTATTCCACCCTACCTCCCCAAACCAAACTGGCTGATGTAGGTGGTTCAGTAAGTCCTTGAACCTGTCATTATCACACTGCATTGTAAATGTTTGGCTGTTGCTAGCCTTTGTTAATCTGTGAGTTCCTTTAGAGTAGGCATTGTGCCTTAATTATTTGTATGTTCTCATCACTAGTAGAGTGCCTGGCACACTATAAACAATAATAAATGTTTGCTGAATTAAAAAATGAATTTAATAAACCAAGGGATATTTTCCCTAAATCTCACAAGGGGGCAGCAAGGAATACAATTTTTTTCTATTGTCTGCAAAATCACATATCTTTAAAGCCAGAAGAGACATTAGCTTAGTTGAGTAAACTTCTCATCTTCTTAGAATGCTCAAATATTTCTTTAGAGAAGGACTTCATGGCATTCATAGAAATTCTCTCATAGGCCTCATTTCCAGGTTTTTAAAATGTCACGTAAGCATACAGTCTGTTGACCATCCTCACAAATGTGTACTTTGGCCATAGCTCTGAATTTAGTTGCCTTACCCAACTCTCTTAAGATTATATAAAATAATAGGCATTTCCCTAAATGGAATTTTCTGAATGTAGTATTTGTTTTTGGCTTCTTGATTTCTCATATGATCACATAAATTTACCACACTTAGTGCCATCTTCCATTTTTAGAGTTGAGGAAATGGAGGCCTAGAGAGGTTAAAGAGTTCTCCTTTATTCACACAACAAATCACTGGTTGGACTGAAACCAGAATTCCAATCCTCTGACCCTGAATCTTACATTTCCTTTTATTGTCTGAAGGTCACGGATGCTTTGGTTTGGAAACAGAAGCATAATTCAGGGTATATAGACTTTAGTACCCAATTCCTTCTAGATAAATGAGTGTTTACATTTCAGTCCTACTGAAGGTTAGATTGCAGCATCTATCGTGAAAAAGGGTTTGTACATGTTCTTTTTCTTTATTGAATTAGGAAATGCAAGAAAAACAGTCTTTACAAACTCACAGTTCTGAAATAATACAGTTCTATAGAGAAGGAAAAAATTTTTCCTCAACCTTCTTAGGGCCCGTGGCTGCATCTGAAAATTAAACCAATAAGGACAGATTAATGGGAGAAAAGCATGCAGATTTTATTAAATTTTTACATGTAGATGGGAGCCTTCACAAGAGAATCAAGACCCAAAAAAGTGACCAGAGCAGGAAGCTTTTATACCTCTTAGACAAGGAAAAAATAAATTTGTGAAGAATTGATAAGACAGAGAAATTTGGGCTAGGGGTAGTAAATGGTGAAATGGTAACTAGGAAGATCAGGATTAGTTCAACAAGGTTTGTTTATACATCCTTCTTGGCCCCAAATTTCTCTGTCTCTGATGATAAAACTGTCTTTTAGTACATTCACAGTGTTGTGCAACCATCACCACTATTTAGCTGCACCTTTCATCATTCCATAAGGAAACCTTCTACCTATTCATACTGTTTGCAACTTGTTTTCTTAGTGAATACTACCATGTAAAGATATGTCTCATTTTTTAAATAGCTTTATAGTATTCCATTATAAGTACCATAGTTATTTACCAATCTCAATGGATAATTGGGTTATTCTAGAATTTTAAAATATTATAAGCAGTGCTATACTGAACACCCTTGAATGCTGGCATACTTCTATGATACACATTATTAGACACAGAAATGTTGAGTCAAAGGAGATAAACATTAAAAATGTAATCAGGGGCGCCTGGATGACTCAGTCGGTTAAGCATCTGACTTCGGCTCAGGTCAGATCTCACGGTTCATGGGTTTGGGACCTGCCAGGCTCTTTGCTGACAGCTCAGAGCCTGGAGCCTGCTAAGGATTTTGTGTCTCTCTCTCGCTCTGCTCCTCCCCAGGTTGCCCTCTGTCTCTTTCTCAAAAAATAAATAAATAAATTTCTATATTTTCCTCCCAAAGAGTGCTACTAATTAACAATTCCAGCAAGAGTATTTCCCCATCACACTTTCCTACCCTCTTGCCAACACTGAATATCATCAATCTGTAAATACTTTCCAATCTGATAGGTAGAAATAATCACCTTATTGTTTTAGTTTGATTAATTATAAGGGAAATTGAGCATCTTATAATGTTTATGGATGATTTTGTGTGTGTGTGTGTGTGTGTGTGTTGACTTGCCTGTTCATGATCTTTGCCCACAGTTCTATTGAGGTGATTTTTAGGTAGTTAATAGGAAAGTTTTTTGAAAGAGTGTTTGCTTTCTCATTTTGAGCAAACCTTTTTCCTTCTCTGCCCAGGAAACATTCTCTTTGTGTGTCTCTCATCTATGTTAAGAACTTCCAGGCCATTTGGTTAATGTAACCTTTTCCTGCTGAAGAGAGAGGGCTTGGTCTGTGATCATCAGAAGGATTTTAATATCCTATTTCCGTTTCCTTTAGAGTTACCGTCCTCTTTTTCTCTCACATTAATTGCTTTGTGTTCTCCCTGCTTGATGCATTTGACCTTCATTTTTTCATGTAGTTCTTGCTAATATCCAGCTGCACTGTATCAGAGGAAAATTAATTCCTTTGGAGTTTTGAGTACATTAGATAAGGAAATCCATGCATTGGTATTTCTTTCAAGATGTGTCAAATTTTTTGTCAACCAAGGATTTCCCTTTGACTTATACTTTATTCTGTGGAATCTACCTGTTCTAAATGCTTTTTGGACTCCCAGAGTGAGGTCCTCACCTCAAAGCCAATGGCAGCCATTATTTCTTTGTCAAGGTGAGAATGTCTGACTAAATCCCAGGTTAACTGGTCCTATGCAGTTTTGCTAAGCTCCCCCATAGTAGGAATGCTTTTTTGTTTCTTAATTCTAATGGCTATCCTGGGTTCCTGTCCCCTATCAGGGAGGGCTTTGCCCCAAAGTAGCAACAATGACCTCTGGGGCTAGCTTTAGAAATTAATGAAGCCTTGTGGGATCCTTTGCAAAGGAGGAGCTGGCATAAATGGGAGGTGTGTTCTATATGTTCTCCGGGGAGTTGAAACAAACCAAGGATGAAAAAATGCTGCCACGGCTGCTACTGCCTGTGAGTAATGTGAGGGTGATGTGTTGACAACACACA